TCTCTCTCTCTCTCTCTCTCTCTCTCTCTGTGTGTGTGTGTTAGTGACACCGTGGCCATGAATAAAAGGCGTGCCTTCATCCGCTCCAAGTACGTGGAGCGTCGATTCATCACCAGCACTACTGGTGGCACAGTGGGTAGACAGAGCAAGACTAGGTCCTCGCTGGGACGACGTGCATCTCTTGAACCTGTAAAGGTCTCCGGCAGCGACATGACGGCCGCCTCTTCAAGGGATACCATCGTCTCCGACCCCGACCGATTTCTGCGTCGAGATCTCTTACGTGCCACCCGAACCGGCGACCTCTCCTCGCTTCTGCAGGTATACTTATACCTACCTATATTTTGAAATGCCACACTATATATGTATAAGTATTGTTCTATTTGGAGTGGAAAGAAGAAAGACCAGAGAGACCGGGATGGCCACTTCTGTCCTGTTAGCCATCATCACCCAGTCCCAGGTGCGGATCACCCGGGATTCGAACCCGGGACCTTTGGTCATTGAGTTTGTCACTCTATCACTGCACCACTGGTTCTTTGCTCGTTGCTGCCATCGCTCTAGAACGAGCCTCAAGGCACGCGGTGACAAATATATTCCCCAATCAGATAGATCGGTAAACACCCTACTTCCATCATTCCTGATCGCAACCGACAAGACAAATAATCCATAGTGCAGTGATCGAGTGTTAAAGTCAATGACCAAATGTCCCGAGTTAGGATCCCGGGTGATCCACACCTGGCTGATGACGGCTGATATGCCAGAAATGACCATTCTGGTCTCCCTAGTCTTTATCAGTTCCACTCCATTATATGTCTGAAGTCGCTAAGCGACTGTATGCCATCACTCTAGAACGAGCCTCGAGGCTTAGTGGGTCACGCATATTCCCTAATCAGATAGAACAATGAACACCCCATTTCCATATTTTTTATTTACATACTTTTATGAAGGTTTCGGTATCTTTTTGGCATCACTTTAGCTCGTAGGAAAATACTTACCTCTGCATGACTGTGCACCAGTATGATTAAACTCACGGCTCCAATTGGAGGTCTCGTAGCCCAGTTGACTAGAGCGCCGGCTGTACCAAAGTCTTCCGCTTTCTGGCATGGGTCCGGATCCCACCGTGGCCGCCGGGTCTTTCACAATTTGTTAAAATGAGCTTTTCAAATCTGCCAACCTCCCTCTCCCATTAATTAAGACCACCTGGTAGTCATCTGGTGGATTCTATATTGATTGCTAAAGAGGTTCTGCTTGGGCAGTCAGCTTACTGTACTGGGAGATTCCATTCGTGCCAGTTGGCCGGGTGGGTAAATTATCCCAAGCGCGATTAAACTCACGGCTCCTCGCACGTAGACGCATAGTGACTTGTAGTATGCGCAGGAGAGGACCAAACAAGAAAAAGCAGACTGGAATAACCCTTTCGAGTTTATTGGTCCTCCTCAGCCAGACTTAGCTAAACCCAAGTTTACATCGCCCGAGTCTCGATCCCGTTAAAGAACCCTCACTGATCGCTAACGGAACTCATCGGGCTACGCGACATGCGCGTCCCATTATGCCTCGGAACTTGATCTAGGGTCTCGCAGGCAGCTTAAGCGCGACCAATGGTAAAGGCGGGGGAAAGAGAGAGGAAGTGAGGTTACCGTTAAAGAGAATGGGAGGAAGAAAGAGGACACGCACCGAAACGCACAAAGGGAAAGTTTGAGCAATTTGCAAAGCATAAATAATAATTGTACTTTAATTTACCCTGTTGCTGACCAGTTACGTCGCCTTGCATAGGTGCATG